TAGTATTCTTCTCTCGGTAGTGTGTTCTATGGTAGTAATAAGAACCAGGAGTCATTTTCACTGGTAACAAGATGTTATATCCGTGTCCTTAGGGGTGACAATCTTATTTTTTAAACTCCAGACTAGGATTAGTCCTGTACCATAGAGGCAGTTCGGAACAATTATTTGTAGACCATACAAATGCTCGTTCCGTGATTGATTGGAACCAGCGGACCTCAGCACTATACCTCAGTGCGAAGCCACTACGTCATGGAACCATCAACCAATATGTACTTTGATTCTTATTCGAGGATAAATGTAGGTACAGCGGCAGCATCTTATTTTTACCAACACGTGGATTGTGTGTATGTTTGCCACTCCTTTAAATAATGATTATATTATTAAATCAATAGTAATTAAAAGCCCCGAAACAAAGAGCTGATGATCTTTAATCGGATGTACACATTTTTTTTGAAACAGCTAAGGAATCTCTCGATTAAGATACCTTTCAAAAGAAAAAAACTTAATCACAAGTAGTAAAATTAAAAGTTTTGTACAGTAATTGTACCAGCTTTCAAATAAAAACACAATCATCAAAATCGGTTCACCTAGAAAAAATTTCTGATGTACTTAACACTTAAAAAATACAGTCGAATTGAGTACCTCTTCTTTTTTCGAAGTCGGTTAAAAATCGGTCCTTCCGTTCAGGAGCAACGATGTCACAGACATACACACAGATACACACTATAAACTGTCACCACCCGTCTGTTTTCATCAGGGTTTAAAAGGTTAACCAGTAAGATTTGTTTCAAAAATAAAACAATACGTCAATTACTATTTTTATTTATACATTTAATAATTCATAAAAATCAGTCAGAATTTATCCTAAGTTCACACATACAGCAATAACAATAAAAATTGTTTTAACTACAAGCACACATTTGAGGTAAAATATTAATAATAATTACAATAAAATTACAACATTTTGGACATCTCATTTTCAAAAATTTCAAGTGAGATTTTGCATTTCTATCAAGGAACGATTGTCATTTGTTATTAATGAACATCCTTGCATTGCATGTCAATAAGAGGTAATATTATTACGCTCACCAGATGTCGCTAGTTGGGACTAAGGTGACCTTATTTGTACCGCAGCTGATCACGCAGTATCATGATTATTAAAATTTGACCGTTGTATATACACAAAACAATGCCTCAGTGCTGTATTCTTTAATTTTTAAATTTTTCGTAATTCTTGAACTTTCAGGAATATCCGTAGTTTGATTTATCCATTTCTAATCTAATTAATATAAAATATACAGTCAGTAAGGATAAAGAATGGAAATAGAAATGGCGGCTAAGCGAGCCCGTACCGTCAACATGCAAAGTACCAATAGCGAAAACCCGCAAATAACGGTATACCGTTATAACGTTATGTTATTCAGTTAAATAAAATTTTATATTAATAGAAAAATATTTGAAAATAATTGTAAAAGCCAGTAGGTACATTAATTTTAAAATACCATTTTTATAACTAGCGACTCGCTCTGGCTTCGCCTGGGTGGAATCTATTAATGGGGCGTTATTCAGACTTAAGATAATCATTAAAAACCATTTATCTTATCAATATTTCTATTTTAATAAAATTTCTAAATTTTGCGGTAAAGTTTATGGTATTCCTTTCTATTTTTCGTACTTTTATAGTACTAACGCAATCCCCATCTTAGTCCTCATGGGTATCAACGCATCAGCGTTTTAATCTTTTATTCGATGAAAGTGCCCGTTTGTCAACTTTTCTTTTATAAAAATATTGGTACAACATGAGGTTCATTTTCAACACCCATTTTGACACCCTCAGTGAATTTTTTAGCATAATGATTTGTAAACTACAGCACTGATGAGCAGGTTTGTTTTATACTTTTATTTTTAATTGAAACGATACCCAAACATACAGCCACCAGGGCTTAGCTTAGCCCATGCAGGGCTAGCATGGGCAGGAAACAATTTTATCCCCGGGGAAAGGAGAAAATGTTTATCCCCTCGCTTAGTTTCCACAACTTGGTAAGAGGGCGTTATATATCCTGATGAACCCGTAGCCAGCAATGAAAATGTACGTAGCTCCTAACAACGATTTATCATTAACAATGGTTAAAACAGTAATTGTAAAACCCGACCCGAAAAGTTTACTGAAGAGTAAAATTTTATACCCAATGTTACTTCCACAACTAAGAAGTATCCTACGACACTCCATATGTTAAAATCCATCGAACCGTTTAGACTACAGAGCGCGCCAAATAAACAAACATACAACTTGGCCAAAACAATTAGGCACATGACAGGAGTGCAGTTTCGGCGCCCGCACCCCTCCTCCTTCCCCGCGCATCCCCTACTGACCAATCACAGTTCCGTGTTCTCTCCCTAGTTCTAATTACGTCTTAACTGTCATGCGCCAATTGTTTTGGACACGTAATAGTAGATACATACACTAAAAATTAAATTAATTAAAAATAAACCCCCGAAACAATCGGCTGAACAGATTTTCTTGAATCATAGCTAAGAACGCTATCGATCAAGTCACCTTTCAAACAAACAAAAAACAATCTAAATTGGTTCATCCGTTTAGGAGCTACGATGCCAGAGACAGACTCATGTTAAACAAACCCTCTTTTTCGACGGGGGTTGAAAACACAACTAAAAAAAAGTGTGATCACTAATCCATATGTCAAGGGTGACAATACTATGGAAAATACTCTCTATTATAGGAGTCCTAACTACAATACAAATACTATTCCAGGGCAAATATTCCCTTTATAAATTACTCTATGGGGAAGCCTTTGTACAGCAGTAAAGTATTAAAAGGTTATAATGATGATGATGATGATGATTAGAGGCGCACATGTAATATAAAGAGAATATACAGGGTTATTTTTCAAAGAGTATCCAATGAACATCGGTCACGGCCCATACATGCTGTGACCTGGCTATAAAATATCGCGAACATGATTAGTGTATGGATTAATCCGTTTTTTAATTGAAAATATATTATTTAAAAGCCGAGGATCATAGAACATTACACTTATGTATTTCGTCACTATTGAGGTTATGATGTAGCCATGACTACAACCTCAGCTAAAACAATTGATATGAAAACTATGCAGTAATATATACTTAACTAAATAAGTCAATGGCTAAAACCACAAAAATGAATCAATAACCTTTCTAATCTTTTCACCGCTAAATATCTAAGACACAGGTGCTTAGACTTTTGCTCACACTTTGACAGCTCTCGTGTCATAATACCACAGACACTCATAATACGTTCCGTTCTAAGTATTACATGCATTCTATATTAACTGTCAACCTATCATTTGCAACTTATTTCGGAATACTTTCCATAACCCCATCTAAAAACAATATTATTGATAATACACTACAAAAATAAATAAAAAATTTACAATAAAATCTTGTATTAAAAAAAAGTAAATGCATAATGGTAGTGTTACTTTAGTGTTATGATGAAACTTGTACCACAGATAAAAACGGGACGGGTTTAGATGCGTTCAAAACCTATAAACAGTAGTTAGGAAATAAGGTTTTTCATTACAAAGCTAAATTATCTTACCGGCTCCAATAAAATAAGTTGGACCCCGTAATTTAATATACAACTAAGTCACTATTTTTTGACGTATCAATCATTGGTGGTCGTTTCATATTTTGGTCAGGTCGTATTTGACCGATGTTCTTTATTAACTTTAAATTAAAATAGAAATACTGATATACCCTTTTTGAAGTTATTAAACAAAAATGCCTAAATAAGGTTTTTACATTTACTTGAAAATATCCTAAATTGAATGTGATTTATGGACACCAACTACAGTGTAAACTCATGTGTGTACGAGTCAATGCACGGAGCTTTTGCCTACTATTTACTTCCTTAATAACACGCTCACTACTAAGTGGATGACTTGCGTGGCGTACTTATCAGGTTGCTATAATGCTGCTATATATATGTTGATTATGCGACGCGAATTATCATTTTTCGACTGCCGGGCTTATTACTGAATAACCACCTCGACTATTTCCATGTGCCGGATTGTTGAACTATCCACGTCTAACAGCCCTTGGTTAGCTGCAAAAATTGTTCTCCGATTGGGCATCACACGTGCGTTAATTCCTTGCCTTTGCAAAAGCAGTTGACACACTTTCGTATAATCTTTGCGCACCACGTAAACTTTCATTGCTGAAAATGTAACATCGCATCATTTCATGGTATTCGCGATTCGAATATTTTCGTTGTGTCATTGCTAACGAAGTGACAAGTGATCCTATTTACGAAAATTGATAAATAGGACTCGTACGTAATGAGATCACGGTCAAGTCAATACTGTCAGCTGGCCGGGCGAACGAACCTAGCAGTGTAACGGCTAACGGAAGGGAAACGGCGGAAAAACGTCCTTGTATTTACCGAGTCAGAACAACTATTAGTTACCTAAATCTGTAACCGAGCGCGGCCGCCGAACGCCACCGAATGCTTCCGAATCCAACACTTTCTTACAAATGTGTGCGTGCGTTTTCATTCGCATTTATGAATGGCATGTGAGTTAAAATAATGCATTTCCACACATTTTAAATTTAAAAGATAAACATGACAATATGTTTTTTTTTTAATTTTTTTTTTCACAATTCGTTTATATTACCTATTCTGCACCTCCTCTACAAATTTGGGCATACATAGCAAAATAACCCTGTATATACCAAAAAGAAAATATATGAATTATATAATCCGGATTAAACGGAAACTGTTGTCATAAAATGCAGGCAGAAGGAATATTAATATTCCAAAATCAATTGATACACCATCCTTGTGGGATCCCTTCAAATTATTTCATATAATTTTAGTCTCATTATTAATTTGAATTAATCAAGGCACTGTTGTAATTAAATACAATAAATTCCATTCAAAAAACACAATCATACAAAAATTTCATGTGATGGAGCAAAAATATTTCACAAACTAATTTTCACTTCACAATGACCTTCTCTCCGAGCTTGACAACTTTGTCTAGGTTTTCCTTTAGAGTCTTGAGCTGGTGCAACACGTTGGGGTCCATGAGGGAGAAGGGGATGTATGCTTGAGACTGACGCAGCTCCTTCGGCTGGAGGGACAGCATGGTGCCATCTTGGAGCAGTATGTTGCAGTTTGCTTTATCATCCGGTTGCATCCTAAAAATATATAAAAGGTGTATAAAATTTATGCAAGTGCAGCTATGGCTGCCACATTTGGCAGGCACGTTTTTTATTTTTTAGTTTCTCTGATTTGTTGTCTTCTGTCGCTTCTTATGACACCCAAGGAACGATATGGGGTAGTGGATATTCTTACAACCGCTATACCACTTATACATTGGTACAGCTCAGCAACTATGGCAAGTACCTCCTTTATTAGGCAATTTCTGGGGAGACATATGTTTAGCAGTGGACTTTGATAGTTTGCAATGCATTAATGAATGATGAATGAAATGTATAATCGCCATGAACCGCGTGGAATTAAAAAATGAAGAACTATATCCAGATTTAGAATGCTGCAGAAAACCTTACGCTCGGTTCAATAGTTCGCGTGAAAAGGTAAGTAACAACAAGCATACAGTTTGTACTTATACTCGCGACAATCTAAGAAACCCGATTTGACAGCTATAAAAATACTTTGCGTAATGATGGGAAAAAATTTGGTTACTTTAAAAACCGATTCTCGAGACATCGATTATTTAGAGCTTGTAATGGACATCGTTTAAAATTGATTCTCAAGGCATATCGTTTTAATACATGTACGAGTTTGTAATATTTAACAGTTATTACATAAATCCAAACTAAGTTTAAATTTGGGCCAGTTTCAAAGCCAAGACGTAAACTAAAATCCGACACACATTGTATATTATGTAGGCACGCCACTGATAAGCACCCGTACGAAGCCGAGTCGGGTCGCTAGTCAAGAATAAAATTACCAATAAATAAGTGTGGTTGGGTGAGGTAAATAAATAAATTCACTGAATTCGTAACATTTTTATTCTCAATTCTTATCCTAATGCCAACAAAAAAATTGTTATAAAACCTTCCCCGGCAGATCCAGCATGACAAATAATGACGCGTCCACCCTTTCCCATTGGAACTATTGAGCTGGATGCTTGCGTATCATACGTCCAAGACTGTGGCACAGTATGATTAGCATTTAACCATGTCTCATCAATAAATATATCCTTGTCCCAGTTGGTTATTTTATTAATTTCTCTTAAGAAGGATCCTCTTTGTAGTATTATGTCATACCTTTCCATCAATATTTTCCATTCGTCGGTTTTTTTGTATGAAATCCCAATATTTTTTAGAATTGTTTTATAGATGTTGCACTACCATCATATAAGTTTGCAGATTTAAGGGACACAAGTGATTTACTTACGGTGGGGTGTTCTTGTCTTGTGTAGTAGCCGTAAAAACGGCTACTACACAAAATGGGATCTATTAGCATCAGCATCAAAATTATCGATACCTGTCACAGGTTTTTGTTTTTTTTTTTTCGCTTTTTGGGTGTGTGCAGTACATTATCTTCACAGCCAAAAGGCCTATACTTTTCCTTTATAATATTTCGGACAGTTTTATGCCAATTCCAAGCGCTTGTGCGACTCGTTCTTGTACTTGGGTAACTTCTAAAAGAGGCCCTCTATTTGCTGACTCGTGACTCGAAAGTACTCGTGCAACTTCAAGACCAAGTTACGAGAATGGCTGTTAAGAGTACGTCTTTTTTTATACATGTTGTCTAGTTCACGCGATAGCACCAAAATCACGTAATGAGTAATCAGTCCGGAATTAGCAAGCCAAGGTAAACGAATATAGCAGAAACAGTGCAAGAGTGATAGCCGAGTCAGAAAATATAATAATAACCAATAACACAAAAACTTCCAAGATAGCGAGAGACCGCGCGAAGCATTGACGATTCAATGACGTAGAGAGAAAAAATGGAGGTTAATATTATTTTTTTTTAATCAAACTATTTCCAATATTAACATATTAAATATCAAAATAAAGCTAGAAATATATGTGGTCAGATTTTGTTTTTATATGTTTAAACGTTAAATAATACGTTTCTCTCTTTTCTAAATGTAAAAGTATCGATTTTTCACAACATCGATTTTATTTGGTCAAAAAATGGTTTATAACGGTCACAACACTACGGTAACGAACCCAACGATATAACAGACATGTCATTGTAATAACGTCCTGTGGGAATATTAATCAACGATTAATTCGTGTTTTTGAGAGCATTTTTCGAATAGAAAGTGAAACTTGGTGCTTACGAATAATACTCATTGTCATAGTGTATGGATAACATAGTAACTATTTACGATTATAAAGGACATTGCTCTGCTCCCATACATTGTTCGCCCTGGAACCAAGAGCATCGGAAAATTGTGTGTTTTATTGTCGATCATTAGTAAATTCCTATATGATCTTATTTTATAGCGGACTAGCTGCATAAAAGATATATTTCAAAAAAAGTATCAGATTTTGAGGTTATAATTGAACCACGAATATTACGGTTTTTCATAGCTCCGAGTGATTTTTTACAAACTGAAAAATGATGTCCTAAAACATTTAGATATTTTTAGTACCTATCTAGATAATTAGGTATGCTATTTTTGTTCTAAAGCCTAAGTTTATGTAAGTGCAACGTATAAATGCATAGAATCTAGTTAATAAACTTGCTTTCTTAGCATTGGTTTCGAAATGAGAGATAATGTTTGTGTATTCATGTAAAAATAAAAATGTATATATATAATGGCTGTTAGCATTTAGATGTTGTCATTAGCATATACTGAACGATGAGATACCTAGTACCTAAATGTAGAGGATTTAGAATGGTTCAGTCACACCGCTAGACATGCCGTCGAACAGCGACCGTATCAACCACGGTTTTAACGAATTTTCAACAGGGCGCGCTTGAACAGCGTGTATATTATCGACTACTATCTAGTGCATTTGCAAGCGTGTGCGTCTGGACGGCGCTATTCAAACGCGTGACTATGAAACCAGCCTTACCGACTTAGCACCTAATTGGGAGTATAAGTTGTTTAAACTACATTAATTTATTATGTTTGAATTAGAAATAAAACACAGATTAATTTCATGTATATTGTTCATCTTCTAAATGATGATGGTCATAACATGGATGCAGCAACCGACAACGTACAACGATGCAATTACAGCAATATTGCACGATTGCTTCTCTGTTCATCTTTCAACAACATTGAGCCACCAGCAGAGCCGCAATTTACACAAAATACACTTTCCATTGCGTATGCGTAAGTCCGTTTATGAATGGTAGGTTATCGTATGAGCGGTACACAGTTCCGAAAATCACAGCAAGGTAAGTCGTTCTTGAAAGCAATCAGAGTCCGTTAAAATAGCCAAGTCGTAATGTTCAATATATAGTCCCGAAAGTCACCAAAACACCGATACAATTACAAAAAGCAAACGACACCAACCAATGTAATTTTGACAGAGTGAAAGATAATAGTATAAAGTAGGCATGTCGATTTGAAATCGTTTAATCGATTGTTTATAATAAAATAATCGATTTTCCAGATCGATATAGATCTGAAGAATCCTTATCCGATGTCCTGATATCGACTAAGAACACTCCATCGATTCAATGAATCGATCCAAAAACCTCTCGAGTTGGACTTATTCAAGAATATTTCAAACGATTCAAGAAATACTTTTGCATAGGTGGAACATCTGTTCCTTGTGACAGAAAGAAAAACTGTTCTGTTCTGGATTCAATCCTAGGGTATGACAATTTTTTTTATAACTTGAAGTTCCCAGTAGCAGCACGGAGTCTGGATTTGTGTCCGGTATTTGGCTTGTTTCTCTATTACATGGGACGTATTACTTAGTACTACACACCTCTACCTACTCCTTCTGAGAAATACAAGCGTGATGTTATGATAATTTATTTAATGATGTTTCTATACAATTATTTGTATTTAAGGTAAATTATCGTTAATAATTATGTTCTCTGTCCATATTAGGCATGTTTGAAAATGTCGCGATTGATCAAAAATAGATCTGTTAATGCTTGACTTAATCGAGATTCGATTCTAGTATGTTCGATTTGAATTGATTTGGAGATTGTATTTTTTTCATGAGAGACTGACAAGTGACAAGTGACAATTTAGTGACATCAAAAATAGGAGCGCCAAATAAGATATGATTTATGAATATTTCTTAAGATTTATTATAACCATACGTTACAAACACACATCACATCACAAATCATCTTTTGTCATACGATAATATTAATACCATAACAAGTATGACAATATCCTACTTTACTTATAATAACACGTACGTCTCTACTTCTTCCATACTTGTAACAATATTAATAATAACGTCTGTATCTAGTCTACAATATTTCTCTTTTTAAAGAACACATTTATAATTAATGCAGTAACAATAAGTGTTTTTTTTTAATATTAATTGTTGAAAAACTCGTAAGTTATCATTTAGTAAGACGTAAAATACAATCCTTTCTAAACGATCGTAAGAAAATCCTGAATAATCTTTACGAATATTTTTCTTCAGCATTATTCTAACTAACCTATACAAAATCGAGTATGACCTCATTCATTAGGTATTTTAAATTATACTTTTAGGGAACAATATAAAAGAATATAAAGAAATGGTAATTTTATATTTTTATTGTAGCTTATTTTTGAAACTTTATTCGAAATAAATTCAAAATGTATTTCATTAAATTCAAAAGTCGATTATAATCGATTGGGCATCCCTAATCATTTTTCAACACCACATGATGTTTGGCGAAGATGGCGGCGATTAATGTTATTAGTCGAGTAAAATACTTTTTAATGTTTATTTTTGTATGCAACTAGTCCGTGTTATAAAAGTATTTGCAACTAACATAATAAAATAGAAAATTAATTATCGTGTATGTCCGATGCTTTTATTACACAGGGCGATTTTGGACATTGTCCTTTGATTTTTCGATTTCTTACGTCGACGTTCATACAAAGTTATCGCGGCATGTATAATGAAAAACGTCAAATCGGGCTTTTTAGATTGTCGCGAGTATAGCCAGCAGCACGAATGGATAATGGCTCGACTGGAAAGGTTTAAGCTCGCAGACTACTAGCGTAATGCTAGTAGTCTGTGTGTTTGCTGCTGTGTTTCATATTGTGAGTGACGAGAAAAGGAGACCATTTTTGTTGATAATTGGGCATTACAATTTAGTTTTCAGGGGTGACAACCCATCTGATTCTTATTTGAGGATAAATGTAGATGGTGTCTATAGTCACAACATTCACTATCATGTGGACTATGTTCTTGTTCACCCTTACTTCAGTAAAAAAATGCATCTTTTGTAATGAGTACAAATTTAACGAAAATTTTCGGACTGATAAAAATCATCCTTATCCCATTAAAATAAAGTTGGAAATAGTATAAGTTAGTAAATAAAAGTTTGGCTGCGGAAGTGAAAAGGGAGATCGCCCGCTCGCAACATTCCGTGTGGTACAGGGCTTTCTTTTTTTTTATAGGATAAGGGTGACAAACGAGCACACAGTCCAGCTGATGGTAAGTGAATGCTGTGGCCCATAGACATTTACATTTATCCTCGATTAAGCATCAAAAACAAGATTCATTGTCACCCCTGAGGACTAAGATGGAATACCTCCTTTCCAGCAAAAGAGGTCACCGGTTTTCTACACTCACCATACGAAACACTGCAGCGTTTATCTACTATTTTACGCTGGTATTCTCTGTGAGAGCGTGGTCCTTCCCTGGCCGCGCCGAACCATTCGTGCTACAACTATACTACTAATATAGTTGCAGCATATGGCTCTATCACGTAAAAAATTATCTATATATGCTGCAGTACTTCGAAACTTTGATAAGTGTGATTTAGGCTACGGTGGGTTTCGCTTGTGGCGCGACGACAGTACCACCACAGATAATAACATTCTCATTACAGCCCATTATAAATTCACTTCTGAACATAGGCCTTTTTCAAGTATCTCCATACAGCACACTCCTGAACTACCTGCATCTATAGATTTCCTGCATGTCTGACTAGGTAGTGACTCCATCCAGCTTAACATACTGCTACGGGGCTGGCATTCGAGAACCTTTCTTTGTTATCGGTTGATGGCATTTGTTATATAAACAGCCCGTTGTCACTAGATTACTGATCCATTGAGCTATATTCGTTACTTTGTTTCTACTTCGGATATCATTGTTACGAAAGTTTATCACACAGGGAAATTCCTCTCCATACTTATATTATTGGGTATGGCCACAGTTTAAAGGCCTTAACAGTTGGGAAACGAATGTACTTGTGCAGAACAACAATGGGGGCACTGCGGAGCAGGGGGCGGGCCGACCTTGTGCCAGCGCACTTCACTGAGTCTCATAGATAATACATGCGGTTGGCGCGAACGTGTTTTATAGTACTTATTTAACTAATTTTAAGTACAGTTTTAGACAAATATAATATCTATAATGGTGTATTAGTATTACTGTTATAGTGATATGAAATACTAAGTAAAATTGAATTCAAATGAAGGCCGCGTGACCTACGCAGGCGGCGGCATCGCTTGATATCAAAGCCGTTTCACAATTGTAAGGTCTAAACTGTGATATTACCACAGCCTAAGGAGAACAGTCATCGCGTTTGATGTTGTCGGAAAAGCCGACATAAACAATAAATTACTAGGGTTGTCAGGGCGAGAAGTAATAAAAAAATATTTTATTTCACGTTTAAACAAATTAACGTGTATGTGGAAACTGATGAAACTAATTCCTTATCTTTAAATGACAACCACCCACTGTTTCTACCGCACATGTAGTGTGATCCATTTTAATTTATTCATGTGAGAGGACAACCCTAGCGGACAGTTCCGCATCGCACCGCACCATTGCCCCGTATAGACGCCTTCGATGACCGACTGTTAGTAGTAGTGAGACTGTGGCATTACTATCAAATGAAATTTGTGATACTGTATAGATAAAAGGATAAGGAATCTAACAACGTCTCGCGCATCTACATCCATTAAACCGTTTAAGCTACAGGAGGTCACATAAAATCAGACAAGCATACTTGCAAATATCCCAAAGATATAACTGTTCTTGAACAGTTGGATAAAATAAGAAAAAACATAAAATAACTTACGCGTAGCACGAAGGCACCATGACTGGAGATCCAGACATGGACACCACCATTTCACCTTGACGGGGTTGCCTTAGCACTGTCAGTGGAGTTTGTGGTGTCACCTTAACATGAAAAAAATGAACCTTAATTTTAAAAAAAAGCTTATTAAAAAGTAAGAATTACTTTATTTTCAGGCAGTAGTTTATTCCTTTTCTTCTTGTAGACAATCCCAGCCAAAGAGAATAGACGCTCTGAAGAATAAACACTACGTGGTAGAGCCATGCTGCAGCTATATTTGTATTATAGTTGTAGCACGAATGGGTCGGCTCGACCGGGAAAGGACCACGTTCTCACAGAATACCAGCGTAAAATGGCAGCCTATCGCTGCTGTGTTTCGTATGGTGAGTGTAGAGAACCGGAAACCCGTTTTACTGGAAAAGATGCATTCCATCATAGTCCTCACGGGTGACAACGAGGATAGATGTAGATGTCTATGGGCCGCAGCAACCATTTACCATCAGGTGGACTGTGTGCTCGTTTGTTACCCTATCCTATAAAAAAACGGTTTATTAAAAGAGCCCCCGAAGCTCCCGCTACTGAACACTATTGTTAACGTCCTCCAGACCGAAATTCGATCACGGCGACCAGTCTCCACGGAGACTAGCCATCTGTGCAGGTTATGTGCAAGCACAAGTGCACTCTCTATTCCCTCACTCTCCGATGGGACGAAAATTCGACACCACTGGAGAGAGATCAGGTGCAGGACCCAATGTCTTTACGTGCTTTCCGAGGCACAGGGGTTTAACACCAAGCCAACTTAGTAGTACTTGGTAGCTACTGACAATTTTACTGACGATATATACATTAGTCGGATAGTGGCGGCGCATAAGAATCCACTACCCCATATCATTCCGTGGATGTCTTAAGAGACGTCAGAGGAAAATAAAACAGTAGATGGGCAGCATCATATTTCTGATAGTAGCAACTCAAAATCCCTACATAGTATAAAACAAAGTCGCTTCCCGCCTTCTGTACGCTTAGATCTTTTAAACTACGCAATGGATTTCATCAATAGACAAATGATTCAAAAGGAATGTTTATATGTATAATACATGCATGATATATACTTCTTCTGTCCGTGTGTATGTGACTGGACTCCTCCTAAATGGTTTGACCGGTTTTGCTGAAATTTTGTGTGTGATTAATGTGAAAGCGCCAGGGTAACCCGCGTAATTATGTAGTATGTATTTACATAATTACAATCATTATAGTTATCAATACAACCCTCTAGGTTCGTATAATCTCATTGTATTTCTATTTCCAGAAAAACTCATTCTAAGGGATTATATGAACTAAGATGGTTGTATTGGTGATTTTAATGATAATAATTCTGTAAACACATACTCGTTACGGTAGCGAATCATATTTTGTTAAACATACATCTTGACCCTGACCTGCAAATTCCAAAAATCGTAAGAAAATTTGAATTTCGCGGGCCACCCTGGAGCTTTCACCTTAAGTTGATTAGATAATGGTTTAGATTCACAATTGGGCCCGATAGGTGGCATTGTTGTCGATATTCATAAATCAACCGTGCGAAAGCGGGGCGGATCGCTAGTTATAATATAAAATGTGGTTGTCAATTCGCTTGCCGAGCACCTATTGTCAATATCCCACTTTGAGGCAATCTATTCGGGAGGCCAACTATATATGTATATGACGGCACGTGCACCATTGCACGTGCGGCGGCGTCGGTGTAGCTAGACAGAATTCTTATAAATAACACGTGCTCCGCACACCTGCACCATTGCACCTGCGGTGGCGCCCGTTTAGCTTGTATAAAACGGACGGAGCTGCCGCCGTTAGGACAGTCTTGGCTCTGACGTGAAACGGTGCGCTTGTCGTATTCCGTTACTAGATTATCCTCGACTCGTTGGATAATTAATTCGTGTAAACGAATTAATTATTATTCCTAACTACAAAATCAGTCTCTGTACCATACCCACTATACTTCCTACATATACATTATTACACAATAAATAAATGAATCCTATTTGAGTCAGACTTACATGGACAGGTGGTGGAGTGTTTATTTTTATTTCAGACTTATAACAACAACAAAAAAAAACGTGCCTACCGTATTAAGGTGAACGCACATTTGTCAACACCGTACGCGCAGCACGCGCCGTACGCACCACATTTTAGAATTCTTTGTATGAAATGATAGGAAAACTCGCACATTTCAATCGCACCGTACGCGGCGTATTTTATAAAATGCGCCAAGTATGTGAATATTGAAGGTGGCATGCTGATGACGTAATATATGTGCTGACACTGTGTTGCCTAATGTTGCCAACTTAGTGAATTTTCCTCTATAACTGTGATTGCGACTACCCTTATAATGGAGAAATATTGTTCACAGTGGCTAGTGTTTTTCTAGTGGTTCAATAGAATAAGTTTTCAGTTAGTGGTAAGATGATCACCCCACCATGAACTCACTTATATATTTCGAAATATATTTTTACTTCATTTCAGGAGTATTTACTTTTACTGTGTAGGCAACAATGAGTCGTCAGACATACAAATGCAAATATCTGAAAAGTCGTTCATCATCGTCTATTAAGTCTGAATAAAGGTATAATATTATCCATACAACTGCCTTTTTAAATTAACATTGTGAATCCATAATCTTCTTTTTTTTCGAATTTTATTTGCTTCTTCTTCTGCCAATAAACAGGCTATTACAAGATTTTTTTCCATAGTATTCCAAACGATTCCAACGATCAATGTCACGGTACCCTTTCACATCAGTGGTTACAAAAAGTGCAAAAGTTGTAGGCAATACCAAAGATTTGCGTACAGCGCGTACGGCGCGTACGTGCTAATGTGCGAGGGCATCAGTAAATGCGGCGCGTACGGCACGTACGGTGCTGATAAATGTGCGTTGACCTTTACTTGCCTAGCATGCAGTAAAAGGCGACCAATGGGATTGTTTTTTTTTTTTATAGTAGAGGGGTCAAACGAGCATGCGGCTCACCTGATGGTAAGTGACTACCGCCGCCCATGAACAACTACAATACCAAGGGAACCAGGAGAATTGCAGATGCGTTGCCGGGCTTTTAAAAGGAGTAGGCTCTTTTTTTTAAAGTCCCTAAGTCGTATCGGTATTGTAGTGACGTGTAGCCCCCACGACAATATATACCTATATATTAGTTTAGTTTATAATAAAGAGTAGTATAATTAAATGTTTAGAACCAGTAACACGCCTCTGTTTTCATTGACGTCTTTCCAAAATTACATTACATTGGGTTTGGGATTGTACAGGCGATGAACTAGTCACAAATCACTTCTTTCACAACTCTTAATCCACAATTTTTTTTTAATAAGACGTTCCAACCAGCTTGTTGCTTTTTGGACTCTGCCTACCTCTCCACGGGGACTATAAGTGTGATTCTCTATAAATGAACGAGCAACACTCACCTTTGGCGTGATGACTGGGTAGTTGACGGCTGAATTCTTGTTGTAAGCGGGCGTGCGGTAGACTGAACGTGAGCGACGCCGCTGTATCTTAGCAGTGGTCAGTGAACGAGTGTCGGCTGAACGGGACCGCCGACGCGTGGTCATTCGACTCGCTGTGCTGGGCGGACCTGGGTATACGTGACTCTTTTGTAAGAATAGAATAGAATAATTTTGAGGATAGGATACCGTACTCAAAGGGTAACCAACGGGACACTATTACTAATCCTCCGCTGTCCGTCCGTCTGTCTGTCAGCGGTCTGTCTGTATCTCATGATCCGGAATAGGTAGACAGTTGAAATTTTCACAGAATGTGTATTTCTGTTTCCACTGTAAGAACAAATATGTAAAAATAAAAAAAAAAATTAAAATTAAAAGGGGCTCTCTTACTAGAAACGTAATTTAGGATGGTAAGGAACTCGGGACTTGTACTTGGCCGGTTATCGTTTAGAGGGAGGGCCCATATTTGAGTTTTACTCATAACAAAAGAACATCTGTCCTTGGTAACACTTATATCAAATATCTTTAGTGTATTTTTGTATTTTGGTAGAAAAGCAAGGAATCCCTGAAATTCCTCAGATTCCTGAAGTAGGCAACCCTATAAATTTGGATCGTTTATTGGTTTATTTTTTGTAACAAAGTAAATAAAAAACAGCACAATTAGTTTTGCATACTACTAGACTATTAGAAACGTGTCGCATTTGGCCGACTTTTTATTCAATACGATGGATTTCATGGGTTTTAATTTCTCTAAAATACTCGTAAAACTAACCTTAGTTAATCCTTATAACATCAGCTATCTGCCAGTAAAAGTCTAGTTAAAATCGTTCTAGCCATTTCGGAGATTAGCCGGAACAAACAGACAGGCAAACAAACGGACAGACAGACAAAATTTTTAAAAATTGATTTTTTTTTGTGTTAAGTACCATATATACTTTCATATGCATTTAGTAAAACGCTGTTACTTTGCCATTACAAACAGACACTTCATTTTATTTATCTGTATAGATATAGATGTATAGATAGATTACAATAATACTCATTGAAAGTCATTTAATATGTGGTGGATCCATGTTGCTGCTATATTATAGTTGTAGTACGAATGGGTCGGCTCGACCGGGGTAGCTAGGAGGTAGGAGCACGCACTCACAGAATACCAGCGTAAAATAGCAACTTAACACTGCTGTGTTTCGTATGGTGAGTGTAGAGAACCGGAGACCCTTTTTACTGGAAACGAGGCATTTCATTTCAGTCATCACTGGTGACAACGTATCTGCATTTTGATTCTTAATAGAGGATAAATGTAGATGTCTATGTGCCACAGCATCCACTAAACATGAGGTGGACTGTGCGCCTCTTTGTCGCCCTAATTCAATAAAAAAAAAACGCTTTGCCACACAGAAAAAAGTTCTGTTCTGGGAAGAACCAGCAAGAAACCAAGCCAAACTTATTTTAAAAATAAAATAAATTTACAATATATTATTTTATACAATTAATATGAAAGCATTTAGAATCAGCATAAGGTCTGCATATTTTCTGGGACTTTGTTGTAAAAGCCCATACATCGTCGAGTAACTGGTATAACTAACTTGCGCTTTTTCCTAGTATGTACAGAATGCACGAAGCAAATACAAAGAGGAGATGGCATAAGCCACTGCGCACTGTGATTCTAACTAGGTCCTGACGTCATCACAGTGGGCGTGGCTTTACTTAGTATAATGTCAGCGTTCGTCCTGTGCGCTTATGTGTCGAAAATCGCAAATCGGTGTAATTTCGTAGTGTTAAGAAAATGAGGATGAAGTGTTATTTTATCGTGTAAAAACTAGTTGTATTTATCGTATAAAAACTAATAAGATAGACGCTCTGACGCTATGGATGGCATCATATTTCATTTGTAAGTAATTTTATACCTAATTTATTAAAAAGGTTCTAGAAAAATCTCTGCGTCGGCTTTCAAATGTAATTAAATACGAGGGTGGATTGAAAAGTACTCGGCCTAACCAAGAAAATAAACAAATACTAAATCAGTTATATTTTTATTTTTCTACATAATCACCATCAAGTTCAATACACTTTTGCCACCTCCCCTTCCAAGCATTTAGACCGTTGAAAAAAAATGATTCTTCCTTAGAGTCAAAATATGCGTCTACAGCTGCTTTGACCTCGTCGTTTGTCGAAAATCTTTGACCTCCCAAGTGCTATTTTAGGTTAGGGATCAGAAAGAAGTCTGATGGTGCCAGATCAGGTGAATACGGCGGATGCAGTAACAGTTCAAAGCCACAGTTGTGAATTTCAGCCATTGACTGTACTGACGTGTGAACACGGGCGTTATCTTGATGAAACAGGACTCTTCTTCTGAGCATTCCTCGACGTTTTTCTTTTATTTCCTCTCGTAAACGACGTAGTAAGGCGCAGTAGTAATCAGAGTTTATATTCTGACCCCTTTCAAGATAATCAATCATAATCACACCTTTCGAGTCCCAGAATACTGAAGCCATCACCTTATTTGCCGACAAAATCGACTTAGCCTTTTTAGGGGGTGGTGAAACAGGTCTTCTCCACTGTTTTGATTGTTGTTTTGTTTCCGGTGTACAGTAATGAACCTATGTTTCGTCCATAGTAACAAAACGATTCAAAAAATCATCTGCATCGGCTTCAAATAACTCCAAACAGTCGCGTGAAATAGTCAATCGCGTCCTTTTTTGTTCAACTGAAAGCAGTCGCGGAGCCCACCTCGCAGACACCTTGTGGAAACCCAACTCGTTGACAATGATGTTTTGAGTTCGTTCATAAGAGATGCCTATAATCTCGGCTATCTCTCTAATTTTTAATCTGCGGTCTCCCATTATTAAATCAAGTACTTTTTTAATATTTTCGTCAGTAGTTGACGTCGAAGGCCTTCCAGAGCGGGGTTAATCTTTCACACTCTCTCTACCACGCTTAAATTCTGCTATCCATTTTTTGACGGATGAATATGACAGAGCACAATCGCCTAATGTACTGACCATGTCATCATGGATGGCTTTTGATGATAGCCCCTTCTTATGGAGGTACTTAATGACGGCACGCTGCTCGATTTGCTCCATTCGCGGAAATTATGTCCGATTACTTTGTTAATAAATTTATAAAATCACAACTAATTATCGCACACGTTTCGAACTTCACACAATGAACTAATCTGAACTGAACTAAATAATGTGGGTAGATTTGATTTTTAGAATTGAATGGATCTGTGTTAGGCCGAGTACTTTTCAATCCACCCTCGTATATTCGACACTAGATGGCGACACTTAGTGTCATGGGAACTAAAAATATAAAGGTACGCAGAGCTCAGTATTGGTAAAATAATCATACGAAGGTGTTGAAATTTGTTTTGCATTCAGTCCTAAATAATTTTTAATCGCCAAAATATTATTTTTATAGTTTTTATAATCATTTAGTGAACAGGCCGCCATCTATCGTCAAGGTAGCTAAACTACATTGCAACATCTATATGGAACGATGCAAGTAGTTTTACTATTTATCGGTAGATGGAAAATAGTAAAGTGGGCGGGGCCTAACATCCCCTCAGCCCGCAAATTATCACCCGTTGTTACATAATGGAATCTAATTACAACACCTACTCTTTGTATATGCTCCGTGACAGAATGTACATCACTATTTTGTTTTTGAGTAAAGAGGTGAGACTAGTCTAAGGTTTTGAATTTATGGGGTGGGTAGTTCTTACCCTGATGGACCCTTAGCCAGAAAAAAGAGTCCCACCACCTGGTAGTATAGCTGCTGCATTGTTTTACTAACACCTAACATACCATGTTTTATTATTTTATTTTATTGTTATCAGGAATACTTACATTTACTAACAATGAATTGTTTTTATATATTTATGTAGACATTGACCATTATAAATGCGATAAAACCGGGCAACAATTATTTTTTAACTTAACCTATGGCCAAATACTCGAACGCTACTCAATTTTAAGATGTCAATATGATCTGAGGGCATTCACGACTTTTTCTGCCACCAGGGCAGCGCCACTTAAAAGTGGATATTTTACAGATTTCATAGCGAGAAGGTTAATTTATTCGGAAAATTCAAGTTTGATGTTTCTTTCTGTATTATTAGCTATATTTTGTATTAATAAGATTAAAAATAAAAAACCAAACCACATACATTAATAAAAGTAGAATTTTTATTAAATTTATAAATGTGCAACAAATTAATGAGCAAAACACTAAGGCGTTGTTTTGTGTAAGTATTAATATAATACTCTAGAAACTGATAAACTTTTACTAAAAACTAAAACTCAACTCAAACTAAACTCTCAATTAAATGAGATTGTGTAATAAAAAAAAACTTTACCTCAGTATCAACCAGCGACATCTGGTGGGCAGAAAATTATTGGCCCTCATTAGTCTCGTTATGTCATAGTAACAACGTTGACTTGAGAGTGATAGACAGCATGAGACTTACGCCATCTTAAAATTGGGTAGCGTTTGATTATTTGGCCAAGACTTTTTTTTATTTATTCAAAATATAAAAAACAAACTGATACACAAAGTGAATTTTTTAGCCCTACAACAATTAAACCGCACACGGTTTAATTGGTGTGGTCTATTAACTATAATGTAACTAAAATGTAATGGTAGATTTATATATTTATTAACTATTCATTAAAGTATGTTAATAAACTATTAACACATTATACTACCCTACAACCATACCATACTGACCATTTAGTTATTTGATTAGAAACTCTATTACATATAAGTTATGTATTCTCATAACAATTAAGAAACTCTGTTGTCAAAATTTGCTTTAAATCTATACAAATAAATAAAATTGGAGTGTCTGTTTGTAATGTCAAAATAACAGCGTTTCACTAGATGCATATGAAAATATATACGGTACTTATAACAAAAACACAATTTTTAAGAAAAAATTCTGTCTATGTGTATGTATGTCTGTTTGTTCTGGCTAATCTCCGAACGGCTGGACCGATTTTGATGGGACTTTCACTGGCAGGTAGCTGGTGTTATAAGGAGTAACTTAGGTTACTTTTATTTAAGAAAAAGAAATAGGGTTTCGCGCAAAAAAATTTAAAACCTAAATTTGACGGCTTCGTGGCGCAGTGGCTTAGCAATCAGTTGTTGCGCTGGGGGCCGCGGGTTCGAATCTCGCACGGAACAAGTATTTGTATGGCCTACAAATAATTGTTCCGGGTCTGGATGTTTGTCCTTGTGCAATTTATGTTTGTAAACTGCCTCCACGACACAGGAGAAAATCCTAGTGTGGGGGTAACGTTTTTAAAAGAAATAAAAATATAAATAAATAAATAAAATAAATTACACGCGGGCAAAGTCGCGGGGAACAGCCAGTTTAATAAAATAAAGTACTATTAAAGAATATATCCGGTGCTATCACTGTCACTATTATGTTCTTTCTTATGAACACAAAATAAAATTATAAAAATATCTAATTATTCCTCTACTAAAGTAATAATTCAAAATATAATAGGAAAGTTTAGAAATTGATGATAGTAATGAGGGTGCGATTAACCAATCACTGATGATATGGAAGAACAGACAAGATAAAAGCAGAGCAAGCACTTACCTGGGGTCTTCTTGGCACCGCGCCCTCCGGAGCCCTGGGACGAGTTCTCAGTGAGGTAGCCTGCCCCAAAAAGCGCCCAGTTAGTAGTTGGAAATTGAAATACGTGATTTGTTAGTGGCGTGAAATTGATTTGAAACAATGTTGTAGAATTCATGTGCTAACAAAGGAGGTGTAACATTACGTGTATAAAAAGGTACCCAGCAGTAGTCTTACCAAGTAAAACTTACGGTCACGTTAGCTAGTCTCACAGGGCAGAATTATAGTAGCCGATTGTATGTACAAGAACAGGTGAACTCTATCTCTAGGCGAACAGAAATCAAATTGTACAAAATATACAAACTAGAATTATCCAACTGCCTCTTGAAAGTTTATGCTTGCCTAGTATTATTCTTAAAATAAACTACTAAAGTACAGTACTACTAACTCTACTGATGACAACTTTCATATACTCGTACTTTATAGAGGAGGACTACCAAGAACTTCCTTTCCCAGTGTTCTACCGTTTGGTCCAGTAAGGCCTACTTGGTAAGAAAACTTCGTAGAATTATATATATATATATATATATATATATATATATATATATATATATATATATATATATATATATATATATATATATAATAGGAACAACCCATGGAGCAAATACAAAGAGGAGACGGCCTAAGCAACTGTGCGTGTACGTAGAGCCTCCGTATTGGTAAAATAATCATACAAAGGTGCTGAAATTTGTTTTGCATTCAGACCGAGACAGAAGAATTTTTAATCGCAAAAATATTATTTTTATAATCATTTTGTGAACAGGCCGCCATCTGTCGTCAAGGTAGCTAAACTACATTGCAACATCGATATGGAACGATGCAAATAGTTTTAGTATTTATCGGTAGATGGAAAACAGTTAAGTGGGCGGGGCTGAACACCCCCTCACCCCGCAAATTGTCACGCGTTGTTACATAGTGAAATCTAATTACAACACCTCCTCTTTGTATTTGCTCCGTGGAATAACCCACATAAAAGATTTACATAGTTTATAATATTCGGTAGTGTATTACAATATGTCCTGTAAGCACACCCTAAGAAGAACATTTAGTCAGTCATCGCGTTTGAAGTTGTTGGTAAAGCCGACTTAAACAATAAATTGCTAGGGTTGTCAGAACGGGAAGTGATAAGAAAACAATTCTTTTTTTATTTAATTATATTACTATTTTACTATTTTAGAAAATAAAAAACTGATTTTATTTTATTTTACGTTTAACCAAATTAATGCGTATGTGGTAACTGATGAAACTATTTCCACACATGTAGTGTGAACCATTCTGATTTATTTGCGTGACAGGACAACCCTAGCGGACAGTTCCCGAGTTACTAACAGCCGCTCGGGAACTTTCTACCCGCGTCTCGCCCCGCACCGCACGATTGCCCCGTCTAGACGCCTTCGATGACCAATGTTAGTGTTAGTTAGCCTGTGCCGTAAGTATACGGATAACATTCAGAATTGAGTACAGGTGAAAATAGTAAGAAAATAAATCATTTATTAAGGTCAATTCCCTTCAGAGATTCAAATTAAAGGATTGTTTCTCATTCACTCATCATCTGTTAGTCCAATTTGTATAAAATTTTACTTGCTTGAGGGATGAATCAGTATGCATGTATTAGACGACTGCTCCGTGACTCAGTGGTTTAGCAATGAGTTGCGGCACTGAGGACTGCGATTTCGAATCCCGCACGGAACAAGTATTGTATGGCATTGTATTGTATGGCCTACAAATAAGCTATGGTCTGAAAGTTTGTCCTTGTGAAATTTATATATGTAAACTGCTTTCATAATACAGGAGAAAATCCTAGTGCAGAGGTAACATTTATTAAAAGAAGATGAATATTATCTTACTGATGTTGACTGAACCTGAGGAGCAAGGATGAGCCCATCCTGATAAATTATAAGTCTCAAACTTTTTGTTTGAGAACACATCAGCAAGGGTTTTTTCCACACAGTCTACTTGACGATAAGTGGATGGTAATCAAATGTCTTTGGTTTGATACACTCACCATACAAAACATAACAACAATGTGCTGCATTTTACGCTGGTATTCTGCGACAGCGTAGAAAGTGGCGAAATTATTATTTCCCTGAATGGGCCGTCCTATTCAAGCTGCAGTTATGATGAAGTTTGACTCAACCTTATAGATTCATACATACTGGTTCATTCCTCATATTACCAAATTTCATTTGAATAAGTTTTGGATCAAACGATTGACAGGACCTACGACCAAAGAGTACAGTAATGCCCAACGACCGACATTATCAAGCTGGTCTCAGAGATCACAGAGTACTGAAACTCGAAATGACCCATTTGAATGATACTTGAATGATCGGGTCACTAGAAATGAATGAATGACACATGTCTATGCTAAGGTACTACGATTCATCACTTGTTAGAATCTAAACATCAATCTTACCATCATCATGCGAGGCTGATCTGGTGGTGGTAGTGGTGGTACGTGTTGTCGACCTCCGTGTAGTGTTTACCACTTCCTTAAGAAGCAATTCTGTTTTCTGAAATCAACAGAATGACTAAACTATTTACTATGGTAGCGAATAGTTAATACTTGCATACACTACAGTTATTCTTCTGTATTTGTTGTTGAACATTCCATATTAGTACTCTGTGTGTAGTGGCAGTAAGAATGTCGTAAGAGGTGACAAATTTTTTATTCCTGACGCTTCAAGTACTTTACAAACCCATTATCATGGGGGACTGATATATTTTATGTCCCAATGTCATAGTTAATCACTGTTATTTTCAGATTAATATTCTTGATTTTTGGTCCAATCAACACAGAATGAACTTATAGTATCTTGAAGTATTACAGTTGCATGTTGGCTAGCTTTGGATTTAATTTGATTAATTATAGGATCCTACTAATATAGCAGAGGAAATGTATATATTATGTGGGTAGTTAATTATCATTTTTTTCCGACCGAGCCATAGCTGAATATAGACTGAGATAAGAACTAGTTTTATTTAAATGATTATGCCTTTAGTTCCCTTTTACTAATGTCTAGTTTCTATATTAGAATTTTTTTTCTCTTATCATTTACAGTGCATAAATAGTAAACAAAGCGAAAACCATTGAGTTATATGTACTACGTACTAGAGAAGCCATTCCAAACAAAAATTGTGTCCTACTCTATGTCTTCGCGAATGCGCGGGAGTAGTAGTCGCGCATGTGCGAAGACTTTGATATAAAATAAGACATTAATATAAAATAAATATAATAATTTAATATAAAATATCTTAATTTAATCTAAACAAACATATTTCTAAATAAAATGTAATAATAATTATTTAATGGAATTCACAAATCTTCAATTTTCGCAATATTTAGTTTGTACGGATTGCAGTACAGTTCAGTTGAACATAGTCAATGTTCGGAATGGCTTCTCTAGTACGTAGTACATATAACTCAATGGCGAAAACGCTTTCCTTCTTGTAAATGAAAATACTGGTGCAAAGACTTTAAAATGGCTTATAGTTTTTTTTTTTTCATTTCAAGTCATCTTAGAATTCCAAAGAAATAATTTCAAATAAAATCTGTCATACGAAAATTGCATATAAGAATTGAATTATAAGACATTGAATCATAACAAAGAACTGGGCATAAGCAGAGACACACCTTTAATAATAACAATCGTTAGTTGAGATTTGAGAATAAGCATGAGGCAGTTTGATTTCTTATATTTACGCGAAGAATTTGTTTCAGAGAGCACAAGGGATCTGTGACAGAAAACATCTGGCCGCCGAGCTTCAGCACGTCGAGCAAGTACTGCAACACAACAAGATTCAGGTCCTGTGCCTACGTCACAGTGACCGAGTGAAGCCGACCTCAGTCGAGCGTGTGCCTGCTGTACTACTCTATGTCAGAGGAGTCACAGATAAGTTTGGATACATCTTGAAGCAAGCTTCTATTAAAACATACTTCAAGCCGCCGAAGAAGATTAGTCAATTTTTACCATCCGTCAAGTGTAATATCCCTCTACAAGATGCAGGAGTGTACAAGCTTGATTGCGGATGTGGTCTCTCTTACATAGGACAAATAAAAAGATCCATTAAAACCCGCGTGAAAGAAAATATAGCTGACGTGAAGCACCGACGCTCTGGGAAGTCTGCAGTCTGTGAACATGTTCAAGATCGTCCCCGCCATTACATCAGGTTTGATAGACCACAAATCCTCGCAAAAGAACACCGATTCCTACCAAGGATGATACGCGAGGCTATTGAAATTAAAAAACATCCTAATTTCAATAGAGAAGATGGATGGGTGCTGTCATCTGCTTGGGATCCTAAACTAACAAAATTAAATCCAAACCCAAGCATACCACTGCCAGACTCCAAGATACTGTAAGTTCATTCTGCGTAAATCGAACCAAAAATTAATATTAAAAAACTGAAGGTAGCCGGGCTAACTGTGACATTGGGACGTCAAACATCTCAGTAATAATCAGTAAATAAAAGTAGTTTTACAAAAATAAGTGTTATTCATTCTGTAAATACTAGGAACAGACACAAGCTAGTAGTGCCAGTTACTCAACTCCATCGAGTCAGTAATTTATTCTTGGGGCGATGTATACGCTTTTACAACAAAATTCCAGAAAATATACAAAATTTGACCTGCTCAAAGTTCAAAAACTTTATTAAAGTAAGTTTGTATAAAAAGGGTTATTATAATATTAAAGAATTTATAGATGATAATAACCCCTGGAAATGAGGTGATCGCTACCAAGCTATTTCTAATTTGTTGTGTTGTTAATTTGTGTAACATACATGATTGTAAGTTGTTATTTAAAAAAAGTCTGGGTTTCTTGCTGGTTCTTCCCAGGACAGAGGTTTTTTTTTTTCGAACCAGTGGTATTTATACAAAAGAGTGACTTTCAATAAGTATAATTTATAATCTATATTGAATAAAAAAGTTTCTGTTTCTGTTACTATCAGGTTGGTGATATGCTTGGCTTTGACACAAAACATTATAAAGAAAATATATTCTCCTTCACTGTCCAAGTTGTTTTATGACAAACAAGTCCAGGTGATGGTGGCTACAGTAATAGTGTACATGTGTACTGATATCACATGAAAATCTTCATCAGCTTCAGCTAAAAAAGGCCACAGATGTGTTATAACTCCTGAGGACTGCGATGGAATACCTCACATACTGGCATATCATGCGCTTCAAACCATAACAGGGAATTGGTAGTGAAAATAAGTAAGAAGGTACTTACAACACTAATGCTCTCCTATGTACAAAAGGTCATCTAGAATTAATGAAGTTTTTTTCAGCACACTGATGTACCAACTAATTGTAGGAGTAATAGTTATTTCATTCAAATTTGGAACCAGTTAGTTATGATAGCCTTTGTTCTATGATGCACTGCAGGGTACACTTATGTATATTGTAAGACTGGTTTTAACAATTTGTTAATACCAATGATTTCTACTGCATTCACACTATTTATAATGAACAAAATAATAACAAGCACAGAAATCTAAATAATAAGGCACATAACAAGGCAATATCTCTATTTAAATTAAATTTATAGATTCCTCTTGGGCTCTTAATTAAATTAAATACCACAATAGTTGATATCTTATATTTCCACAAATACTACCATGTATTTGAGGAAATGTCATTCAGTTGTTCATTCTACTTAAAATTAAAAAATAAAATTATGTTTTAGCTCATAACATTTTTCTAGGTGAACTGATTTTGATGATTTTTTTTTTATTTGAAAGCTGATGCTTCTCGTGTGGTCCAATAAAATTTGACCAAAGTCTGACTAGTAGTTTTTGAGTTACCCTTAATAATGTATATTGGAGTCAGTTGTACAAAATTTTTAATTTTACCACTTGTGTAATTTCCAACTCCATGCTGTTAAACGCCAGAAACATAGGAAATTAAAAAAAGATAAAATTAAACATGATAAAATCCATAAAATTATTTTTATTCCATACCACAATAGTTATTTTTATGTAGCAAACATTTTTACTATTCTATTGTTATGTTTAATAAAGCTTCTTTCATACATGGTGGAACCCAGCTATATCGTGGTTGCAGCATGAATGTGTTGGCTCAACCAGGGTAGGACCATACACTCACAGAATAACAGCCTAAAATACCAGTTTAATTGTGCTGTGTTTATTATGGTGAGTGTAGAGAACCATGACCCTTTTTACTGGAAACGAGGCATTACATCTGTCCTCAGGGATGACAACGCATCTGCATTTTAATTTTTAATTGAGGATAAATGTAGATGTCTATGGGCCACAGCATCCACTTACCATCAGGTGGTCAGGTGCTCGTTTGTCACCCTTATTCTATAAAAAAAAGCTTCACTAATACATACCAGCTGACCAACTGTCTTCTGTAAGTATTTATTGCTAATAGAACCCAGAAGTATCTTGAATGCTAACTCCACATTCCTCAGTTCCATATGAGTTCTGGAGTCTATATTATTTTTCTGGTCTGCTACTGCATAGGTAATTGTTTAGTCTTAATATTGTTATTATCATTATTACTAATTATTTAATAAATATCAAACATATCAAAACACTTCTAAACAAACTCATTTGATTGATTTAAAAAGTTTAGTAGTATAGTTTAGAAGTCAAAGTAAATAACGAATATTTAGTTATTCATTCTCGAAATTAATAACAAGCAACTGATAACTTTTAGGCAGTACATTGTAATTTTAAATGAACTCTCACCTAATTTATGTAATTTCTTCAAAGCATCGTCATCCTCGGCCGTCTTCTCTAGCTTTTTAACAGGTCGTTTTGTTCTTGGCATTGTATATTCAATCAATAACAAATATTTTGTCAGTTGTTATGTTGCACTTTTTTAAGAATTTGTTTATAATATTATTTATTCTATTATTTAAACAAATAATAAAGTTATTTCTATTTCAAATTTAAACATAACACGATTTTCACTGTCAGAAACTAAACCGACATTTTTAAATTTGCGTTCGGATACACTAGCGATGGGCCGATAGGTCAACTCGAGTTACTAACTCGACAAGTTAACTCGAGTGAGTTAACTCCGAGAGTCGCTCCGACAATTAATATATTATTTAAAGGCTTATTACATTACACGATTTACCGGGCCCTGTCCATCGTGTGCCCTGCCTACCAGACAGGGCGCTGCTTATTACACTACGCTAGAAATCGCTTCCTGACTCAGTTGTTACTCGGACGTGGAAATGATTGCACGTCTAGCATTATGGCGCAGACTTTATCTAAACGTCAAAAAATTGCTTTATTGTTTTTTTTTACGTGGTAGAGCCATGCTACGGCTATATTAGTAGTATAGTTGTAGCACGAATGGGTCGGCTCGACCGGGGAAGGACCACGCTCTCACAGAATACCAGCGTAAAATAGCAGCTTAACACTGCTGTGTTTCGTATGGTGAGTGTAGAGAACCGGATACCCTTTTTACTGGAAAAGAGGCATTCCATCTCAGTCCTCACGGGTGACAACGCATCTGAATTTTGATTCGCATACGAGGATAAATGTAGGTGTCTATGGGCCACAGCAACCACTTACCATCGGGTGGACTGTGTGCTCGTTTGTCACCCTATCCTATAAAAAAAAACTTTGACTGGCGGTAACGTGCAAGGCCAAGCTAAAAAAGGAAGGAAAGTTAAATGTGGATGAAAAAATATTTGCTCCTCAAAGAAAAACTATCGAATATGCAAATAGTCAGCGTTTTGGACCCAACAGACCTACGAAACTATTTTAAAGAGTAGGTGAAAACCAATTCGACGAGTTATTAAGCTTAGTAACGCCTTTAATAGAAAAAAAATACTTTAATGATTTCTTATATTTACGCGAACACTACACATTGAATAAAACTACTTGTATGAATTCTATCGTGTTTAATTTTTTTTTTTTGTTAATTCCCGACTTTTTGATAAAAGAAGATTGATATGTATCTTTTGATCACTAGGATATGTATCACTCTTTTATATCTTTATATCCTTATGTATCAGTAGATCAAGCTCGCATTCACGACACGCATCGCATTACATTGCGTTGTTCACTCAGCGTGGCTCGCTTCGCTCAACTCAATCCTATCAGTAAGAGTGATAGATACCTATCGACCTATATATAAGACCTATAGAGCTGTTTGCATTTTGCTTTTTGCTACCCAACGTAATAAATATAAATTAAACGTCAATACGGCTAACTCCTTCCAAGAACTCTCTGATGAAGAAACAGAAGGTGACTACTCTTCTCTGACTTCAACCCCAATTAATACATTAAATAGAAGCTATACAGAAATACAACGAAATACACATTTTAAAATTAATGAATTAAAAGAGAAAACCCACAAGCTAGAAGAAAAACTGGAAATAGCGGAAAATGAAATTGAAAATTTGCTATCAGAAAATCAAATGCTAAGCAAACGAATTTCCGAATATGAAATAAAAATTAAACAGTTAAATTATATATGCAAATCTAAGACGAAAAGAACTGTTAAGAAAAAGAGAGAAAAAAGTTTGACAAAAATGAAATTAGATTTTTCTCAAATAGAAGAAAATATAAAACTCCACGAAAACCATTCCACTAAACATACTAGAACATCTGTGCCAACTACCTCAGAAACAAATAATTTTAATCAAACAGAACAACAAATCGATGTAAACTCAAACTCTAACAGTACTCGTGAAACACCGATAGATGACAGTAACATACACAAGCAAAATAAAAACAGATTTATTTACATTATTGGAGATGAGCAACTAAAGGGACTGTCAGCTTCACTTATAAGTACCAGGTATGGTAAGTTGAATGATGTCTTTATTCCCACGGCTTCAAGGAGGTACTAGTACAGATATATTAAATTACTGTGACTTATTCATCGAAAAATTGACAGATAATGACATTCTCATTTTAGGTATAGGCAATAATGACAAAGACATATATAAATTACATTCCAACATTTGTATAGCTTTAAGCAAATTAAGTAGTTTCCGTTTTTTTAACTCCTATATGCCATAATCCTTATTTTGATAAAAACACATTAAATTTTAATCTAAAATTATGGACGAAACATTTTGACAATTGTAAAATGATCAATATGAATGACGAATATTTGAATGCATTTAATTTTATAAAAAACATTTGTAATAAAATTAATTTATGCATCGATTATATAGAATATAAAAAACAATTTTTAACTGTTGAAAATATTAAGAAATTTTTAAAAAGATCACCTACTATAATCAATGAAACAAAAACAAAAGAAAATAAATACTCAAAATTGCTTAGAAAAGGCACTATACCTTATTATTTTCATCTTATGTCCCAAAAACAAACAAAGAAATTTTTTAATCAATATAATAATATCCTAACTAATAACCATGTACCTAAAAAAGGCACAATACCTTTTTATTTTAGTAACATTACCAAAAAACAAAAAGTAAATACTCGAGATAACAACGAAAGCATTCAACATACGCTGAATTCTTTTCAAAGTAACAAGGACATGTTTTTTCCAAACAAATAACAAGTATATAAATTACGATAGACTATTAAAAAAATGTATAAACATTGCAAAAAGAACAACAAACAATAAATTTGTATTGAATAGTAAAAATATATGTAAAGCTACTTGGACAATTAAAAAAAATGAAACTAATCGTGTGTATACTAAAAATTACATAAATAAAATAATGAATAATGGAAAGGCGGTAACGGAACCTGCTGAAATAGCATCTATTATAAATAATTATTTTATTAACGCAACAAATCAAATAAATTATAAAATAGAAAATACAACTGACGTGAAATTACCCCAATCAATTTTTCTGACTCCTATAAATGAGAATATTATCAAAAAAATCATAATGTCTTTAAACAACACAAAATCTGAAGGCTATGATTCCATATGTACTAAAATAATTAAATCGTGTAAGGATGAAATAAGTGAGATATTGGCATTCCTGATAAATCTTTCACTAGAGTCAGGGACTTTTCCTGATAAATTAAAACTTTCAATAGTAAAACCTTTACACAAAAAGGAAGATAAAAGTGATATATCCAACTATCGACCAATTGCACTAGTCCCAGTCCTCTCAAAAGTATTTGAAAATATGCATTACCAACTTACTTCCTTTTTTAGTAAATTTAAGGTGATAAAACAAAATCAGCATGGTTTCCAAAAAAATAAATCCAAAACACATGCTGCCTTTACATTACTGAAGGATGTCTTGCAAAATTTAAATCAAAGAAACTATACAACTGTAGTATTTCTTGACATGTCGAAAGCCTTCGATCGCGTCTCACATGATCAGTTACTTATCAAACTAGAGCCTAACGGTATAAGGGGACCTGCATTAAGTTGGCTAGAAAGCTATTTAAAAAATAGGTCACAGTGTGTAGAAATAACACAATTAAATTCTAAGAACATAGCTCAGGTATATAGATCGGAATTCAACAACAACAATTTCGGTGTTCCCCAAGGTAGTATACTCGGACCATTGTTGTTTATATTATACATAAATGATTTACCTGATATCTCCAACTACAAAATTACTTTATTTGCAGATGACATCTCGGTGACGATTACGACTAGTAAAAAAAGTACACTTGATCAACACAAAAGGGACATAGTTAAAACAATTAATTCAATAAATAAATGGCTCAATAAAAATAATCTACACATTAATTTAAGTAAAACAAATATTATTAATTTTAATAACTTAAATTCTGAACTAAATATTGAATATAATGGACAACTTCTGCGGAACGCTATTAGTACGACATTTCTAGGTTTAATTATAGACTCAAATCTAAATTGGAAAGAACATATCCATAAAGTGAGTAATAAAATTAACAGATTTGTATACGCGTTACATAAATTGACAAAAATAGCAAACAAAAACACTGCGATCACAGCGTATTTTGCATATGTAGAATCTGTTATCAGATACGGACTTTTAATGTGGGGTAATGGCACAGACTGTCAAAAAGTATTTTTAGCTCAAAAGCGCTGTATTAGAGCTATAAGTAACATCCCATCGGACACATCATGCAAGCCTTATTTTAAGAGTTTAAACATACTTCCTTTTCCCTGCCTCTATATATTTGAGGTTGGCAAATTTGTAAAGCAAAACAAGCACATGTTTTTACAAGCTAAAGATGTTACAAAAATTAACTTACGGAACCCAGATAAACTAGTACTTGACACAATTCCAAAAAGTAAGCGCTTTCAAAAAAATAGCTATGCAATGTGTAACACTATTTATAATAAAATACCCTCACATATTAAGCAATTACCATACCACAATTTTAAAATTTCATTACGACGATGGCTGGTAGAAAAAACATTTTACACAATAAATGAGTTTTTAAATTGTAGTGATTAAGTTTTCGATGCATGAATTAATTTATTTATATTAATTTATTTAGTTATAAAATTTGTAAAATGATGTTTTTAGTTATGTGTTTTAGATTAAGTTTAGAAAGTAATTATCTTATAAAAACTTTTGGACATTTGCATGCTGTTGAAAACAGCTAAATAGGTTTTCTCAACACATTCGTTTTATAACACCAAGAACAAAATATTTTGTACCTATTTACTAGCAAATAAAGAATTTGAATTTGAATTTGCCAACGTATTACAGTTTATAATGGTCAAACAACTCACTCTCTCCGTCTTGCCAAAGCGCGACAGAACATTCTAAATAGTGAGTTGCGAAAGAAACGTCTGTACTATGGACTTCGAAATCTTCCTGGAATGGCCGGCCACGCCGACCGAGGTATAATAGAAAGCAGTGCGCGCAA